TGTTCAGATGTTATAATTAGGAAGTACAACTTTATTTCAGCGCACACATTTTTTGAAATCCATGCATAGTGTTTTCATAATGCCCGTTTTCATGAACTTTTTGAAGATGGCTCACATAGGAGCATATCATTGTGAGCACACATAACTTTTCTTCTTCCTTCCTAATTCAGATGGCTTTTACCTTTTAATTTCCCTGGTTACAACTTCCAGTGCTGTGTTGAAAAGGAGTGGTGAAAGTAAGCATCCTTGCCTTGTTCCTGTTTTAATGGCTTTTGTTATGTTTAGATGCCTTCTATTTCTAGCTGTTTGATTTTTTTTTTCATTGCAAAAGGGTTTTGAATTTTGTTAAATACTTTTTCTGTGTTAACTGAGATGAACAGGTAGTTTTTCTCTCTTCATCCTGTTACTGTGGTGTATGACATTTGTTGGTTTCTTCATGTTGAATTATCATTGCATTCCAGAAATAATTTCCACTTGGTCATGGTGTATACTCCTTTTAATAAGCTGCTGAATTGAATTCGCTAGTATTTTGTTGAGGATCTTTGCGTGTATGTCATAGGAGATACTGGCCTGTAGTTTCCTTCTATTCTCTGTCTGGCTCTGGTAGCAACGCAAAGGCCAGCCTTCTGGAATGCATTAGGAAGGGTTTTCCCCTTTCCCATTTTAAAAGAGTTTGGGAAGATCAGCGTTGTTTCCTCCTTAAATGTAGAATTTATTAATTGGTAGAGTTCATCAATGAAGCCATCAGGTCCAGGGCTCTTCTTTGTTGGGAGTTTGGTTGGTTGATTTTTCCTGATTCAACCTCTTTACGAGTTATAGGTCCACTCATGTTTTCTATTTTTTCATACTTCATTCTTGGTAGATTTTCTGTTTCTAAGAATTTGCCCATTTTATCTCAACCAATTTTGTGGCTTATAGCTATTCACGGTAATTTAGACTCCTTTTTCATTTCTGTGGAATTGTTATGTCCTCATTTCCATTTCTGAATTTGGTAATGAGTATTTTTTCTTAATCAATTTAGATACAGTTTATTAATTTTTGTTCTTTTCAAAGAATGAACTTTTGAGTTTTGATTTTTTTTCAATTGTTCTTCTATTCTCTAGTTTATCTCTGGTCTAATCAGTCATTTCCTTACTTTGGTAGCTTTCAGTTTGCCACTTGATCTTGACATTCAATATGTTAATAAAAAGTGTATGTTACTATTATATAGAATTGTTAATATTTCCATGGTTTTGCTTTTCTTTCTTTCTGTAATACTCTATTTTAAGCAACTTTAAAAGCACTGGGAAAGAGCCTTGACTTTTACCAGACTGCCAAAACGGCCATGGCACAGAAGTTAAGGACCCTATGCCTATGTAAACCCCTACCCCAGAGTTCCCAGCCTTTATTACATATTCTGCTGTTTCTCCTTAGACCATCGGGTACTAGGCATGCTACTACACTTGTTATCCCTCAAACAAGAGAAATCTTCTGCCTCATGGCTTCTGCTATTTGCTCCACCCATTCTGTGACTTGCTCCCTACTTAGGCTTTCAGTTGGCTGCCACCTTTCCTGTGAAGTCACTCCATCCATCCATCCTGAGATGGCCGTCACCTCTTCCCGTCTCTGTTCTGTGCTGTTTTTCCAGCATGGCGCTCATCACCTGCTGATTTTCTAGTTGTGTCTGTATTAGGTCTAAGCTCAGAGAACGCAAGGGCTACTTGCCTTCTACTTTTTAGTTTCAAAACTTCTGTCTGGGACATAACATAGTAACATTGTTGTTGCCCAATAAATGTTTCCCAGAAAGTTCTATAAGGTGTTTTGCAAGTCAGAAATTTCTTTCTTCTGCCTTTTATAGCTCATTCTACGAGATGCTTCATAATTTTTTCTCCTATTTAAGGTCTATAAGCCTGCCTCTATTTGGGATAGTTTTCTATGTTTTTGTCTACTTTTTTTGGAGATTTTTTTAATTTAACTTTTAAATTCACCAGGAATGAGTATTGTGTCAATGAGGATCTTAAATATTTAAATGTATTTTTCCCTGATTCTTCCAATAGCACTCATTTGTTCTTTTCCTTTATGTGTAGGGACTTTAAAAAGCTCATGGAAAATGAAATTAAGACTGTGAAAAAATTTTGAAAACCATGCACTGTTTTCATAATATGCATTTTCTATGAAGTTTTTGAAGAACCCGCATATATTAAATGCCTTTAAAAAGAGCTGACTTGGGGCTTGGTTTCTGGGCTTTCTTTTCTATTACTGTGTTCATTCCTTTTTTTTTTTTTTTTTTTTTTTTTAAGATTTATTTACTTATTTGAAAGTCAGAGTTACAGAGAGAAGGAAAGGGGGGGTGGTGGTGTCTTCCATCTGCTGGTTTACTCTCCACAATGGCCTGAGCTGCCCTGATCGGAACCAGGAGCCAGGAGCTTCAACCAGGTCTCCCACGTGGGTGCAGGGGCCCAAGGACTTGGGCCATCATCACAACTTTCTCAGGCCACAGCAGAGAGCTGGAGCGGATGTGGAGCAGCCAGGATTCGAAACCGGCGCCCATATGGGATGCCAGCACTGCAGGTGGTGGCTTTACCAAATCTATGCCACAGCACTGGCCCCCTGTTCATTTTCTTGCACCAGAAAAAAAGTTTACTTTTTGTAGTCTTGCAGTCTTAATTGCCATTCGCCTGTTTAACGTTAATGTTTGAAAAAGCATTTTCAGTTGAACTTTGTCATGCAAATACCGCCCCCAATATGCTTTTTTCTTTTTAATTTATTGTCTGTTTATTTGAAAGACAGAGTTAGAGAGGGAGAGACAGAAAAAGGTCTTCCATCCGCTGGTTCAGTCCATGGCCACAATGGCCGGAGCTGCGCCGATCCCAAGCCGGGAGCCAGGAGCTTCAACCGGGTCTCCCACGCGGGTGCAGGGGCCCACGGACTTGGGCCGTCCTCCACTGCTTTCCCAGGCCACAGCAGAGAGCTGGACTGGAGGAGGGGCAGCCGGACTCAAACCGGTGCCCATACTGGATGCCAACGCAGCAGGCGGATTAACCTACTGCGCCACGGGCCCGGCTCCTACCCCAATATACTTTTCATCTTCACTTTTTTTTTTTTTTTCTAATTTGCAGGTGCTAAAGTAGTTTGGGAAGTTACACAGCTTGGAAGGACCCAGAGACGCCCAGGCAAGGGTAGCAGTTTTTCTAAGTGTAATTTTTAGTTGAGCTACGCGTCATGTACTTAATAAGTTACCATCTGAGTCCCTCCTTGGGCGAATCAGCCAGGCAGTGGAAGCTGCCATCGAAGGTCACGGTCTCTCCTTACGCAACGCCAGGGGGTCAAAGGGCCGACGGCCACCTAGGGGCTGCGAGACGGCGCTCCGGATTCGGACTCGAGGCCGACACCGAGTGTCTCGGGAGACCGCAGCCTGCTCAGAAACCCCCACAGGCGGGTGTCGCGGGGGGAAACGCCGACCGGAGGAGCCACGCGCAGCTCCCGGCCCGTCAGCCATTCCCCTAGCGAGCCACCGCGCCTTCCGCTTCCGGCGCAGCCAGCCCCGGCCGCGGGAGATCAGACCGCAGACTCCTGAGACCATCCATCTGCCGCTTCTCTAGCAAACGGAGGGTACGGGACCAATGGAAACAGAAGCACAAAGGGGACCGCGAATGTGTCCCAGGGTGCCCCAGCTTTCTGCTCGCAGCACAGCGATCATCTCGCGAGACGACGGGTCCTCAGAGGGCACAAACCCCCTCCGCCTCAGCGCCGAGGCTTTGCGGTCGAGCTGAGTTCCGGGATGCGGAAGTGACTTTGAGGCTTTGTTACTCCGGCCAAGTCCGCCGTCCACCGCGATGGAAGGGCAGTGGAGGCAGGAAGGCCACGCCACCGTGGTACTCGCCCAGGCTCACTTCGAGAGGGGCGAGTACGCGGAGGCCGAGGCGCTGTACTCCGCTTACATTCGCCAGTGCGCCTGTGCGGCCGCCGGCGACGCGAATCTCGGGAGGTAACTATCGCGAGAAGTGGGGGTCGCAGCGTGCCCCGCGGGGTGCGCGGCCGGGCCTGTCTGGCTCCGGCTCCCCCGGCTTAGCAGTGCTGCTGAGCGAGGGTCCTTGGTCCTCAGACCGAGGCGGGACTTGGGCGAGGGCGGCGGCGAACCCGGGGAGGCAGCCCACCCTTTTTTCCTTCTTGGACTCTGTTAAGGAGACTGAGTCTGAGCGTTCCTGTATTTTAGATTTTCTGAATGCATCTTTTTGGTGTCAGCATGGTCATCTGTCGCCTACATTGTGAATTTGCAGTCACATATTTAAAAATGTATTTTATCTGACGGGCGACACACAGAGAGAGGGAGTGAGGTCTTCCGTTCTCTGGTTTACTCCCCAGATGACCACAGCAGCGAGGGAAGCCAGCAGCCTGCGACTCCGTCTGGGCCTCCCCACGGGTGGCCGGCGCCGCGGCCTCGGGCCATCTTCCCCGGCTGGTGCAGGTGCGCCGGCAGCCAGCCGGATCCGAAGCGGGGCCGCCGGACCGGGCGGGTGCTCCGACAGGATGCGTGCGGCCCGATCGGACAGAAATGGAATTCCGCTAGGAAGTGGTCGGGTCCGGCTGCTGTTGCCTTTTGTGAATCTGACTGTCTGCGGGTCCAAAACATCTTTGGTTTATGATGGAAGCGTTGCTTTGGGGTGGATGGACAGTTGTTAGAGAATCTCCTCTCCCTTCAAACATTTTGGTTTTTCTTGGCAGGATGCCAGCTTGTCTTTCCCATGAGGCTCAACTAAACACTGAGGAGTTACCTACCCTGTGTTAAGCTCATGTGGAATTAAGACCAGCCAGACACAGTTGCCTTCTCATTTCAGTAATACACCAGGGTAACCGTTAATAGAAATTTCTGAGCAGCCCATAAGATCGTATCTCAACCCCCTTCTCGCAAAGATCCGTGAGCCCCAAAGCTTTCCTTCCTGTGTTTCCAGATACAGTAGTCCTCCCAGGTAGACTGCAGGATTCCAACAGCAGCAGGAGTGCGAGTGCCTCTGGTCTGTATTCTTCCTCCTGCGGGCCTCTCCGCCCAAGTGGCCAAGCTCGTGCAGCAGATGTCATTTCTGCCGGTTACCAGCATGGCAGAGAAAATCTACCGTGGCCTGGTAGAGGGGAGGTCCGCATCCCTGCCCTCCCAGCTGGGCCCTGTCTCATTTTGCTCTGTCTTGTTTCTTACCTGTAAAATGAGCGTTCAGTTTCCTTAAAACTCTAAAATTGTTCTAGGAACTCATGGGTTGGAACTGAATTCTGTCATTTCAGCCTTCCCCCTTGACTGTATCTTTTGGAGTTAAATTTATTTTTAAATATTGAGATGCTAAATTGTTTTTGACACAGATTTGCTGTCTTTGAATGCCTTTTACTCTAAATAGTTTATAACATTTTTAAAAAATATTCAGAGGTACATTAGTCATAAACCTAATTTCCAAATACATTTTCTTTGCCAAGCTAGCAAATGCTAAAAATCCACGCATTTGGATTCGATAACTCAGATTTCATTACAAGAAATACTGTTGTTACTGAAAAAAAAAAAAAGACCTCAGTATTAGAAAATTTAGCTTCATCTGCTAGCCTATTTCTTTAAACGGGAAACAAAATTTCGGCAAGAAAAGTAGGCTATTAGAATTTGTCGTGGTGAGAGCTAATCCCACGTCTAAGGATCTGGGATCCTCTGAATGTGAGAGTTTCCAGCCAAGTTTGGAAGCTTCAATTTAACGACTAAAAGCTTTCTGTTGTCCTGTGGCTGCATTTGCCCTCCAACCTTTCTGGGCAGCCGTTCAACCAGTGTTGTAACAGGGAGAGACGGAGGCAGGGCCTCGTGTGCTCCAGGGTTTGACAGTGGTGCTGGGGGCATCCGGGAGTGTCCTCGTACCCAGGCTTCCTCACAGAACAGAGGTTGTCTACGGTGACATCAGGTCCTCTCCATTGTTAGCAAACCCAGACTTGAAGGAGGCGCCCGGGCAGCCATCCAGCCTCTCCCATAGATCTGAGGGGTCAAGATGTTAAGAGAGAAAAGTAGATAAATAACCCTAACTGTGGCCACAAGTCTTTTCTGAAGGACTGTGTTTTGGGCTAAGGAGGTATGATGGAAAATGACAAATAAGTTGACCTGTGTATTCTCTGGTTCCATTTTGAGGATCTATTTGGGCAAAAAGAAAGGAGACAATGTCCCTGGCTTTTGGGGCTGAGCCCCTAATGTTCTCCGTGCACCTGACTTGTCCTGTGTAGAGCAGGGCTTAGGGCAGCGGGGGAGGTTCAGCGAGAGGGGAGCTGTGACCTGCTGAACTGGTGGCTGGTCATCTGCCCCAGACAGTTCAGTCTGCTCCCGGAATGCACTTTGGGGCAGCCTCTGGAGCCATCAGAGGCACAGCTGGTTCTGTGCGCACAGCAAGTCCAAAATGGACCAGGCTCTGGGGGCTTAAGGAGCCCCGTCTGCAAGCAGGAAGCCAGCCTGGCCCCAGGAGGACCCCAGCTAAGGCCGGGAGGTAGGCAGCTTCAGCCCTAGCGATCCCTTTGTTGAATTTTCAGATTCATGTCCTTTCCAGACGAAAGTTTTCCATGTAGATAAAGCACTCCATAGGCTGTGAAGTTGGACAGTGCCCGCAGGAGTCTGGTACCTTGGTGTTTCTAATGTGGACTTTTCTGTTCAAAGCAAATGCAGCCCTGAGGATTTGGCTACTGCATATAACAACAGGGGGCAGATTAAGTACCTGCGGGTTGATTTTTACGAAGCCATGGATGACTACACGCGCGCCATAGAGGTCCGCCCCAGTTTTGAAGTCCCCTATTACAACCGCGGGCTCATCCTGTATCGGCTGGGTAAGGCAGCGCAGTCTTGCTTTTTGTCATCGACTGGGTTCTGTTTTGTCAGAGCTGTCACATGCTGTAAAGCCAGTGTGGTGATCTCCAAGCGGGAGAGTTGCAGGAAATTCAGGTGTAGCGCTTGGAACAAGGGGCGCCCGCTTGCGTTTATCCGAGGCTGTCGGTGGGCATGGTAGAGGATAGCGCAGCCCTAGGCGGGAATTGGCCCCGGGCAGGAGTGGGGCGACCCCTCCCCTGTGCCTGTGCATTCCCAGCTGAGAAAGGAGGGCACCACTGATGCTCCCCTGGGAAATGTGGCTGAGTTCAAGTCTTTGAGAGGGCAGAAAGCGAAGAGGTTTTCGATTCTTGCATTAAAGGGACCGTGCCTACTTTTTCTCATTTAAAGTGTCAGAGAAAATGAATTTTGTTTCTGAATTTACTGTCATTATGTGAAACATGTGATGTGATGTATGTTGGAATTTGATGCTGATTTGTGCTCCTTACCTGTTAAATCTCAAAAGTAAGCCCACTGCGGTGTAGGAGTTCTGTTTTGCAAGGGCACACAAGGTCACTTTGATGTTTGATCACTGTCACTCCCTTCCCAGGAGTGAGTGACAGCGTGTAAGTAAGAAAGCAACAGCATGTGTATCCCAGCTTCCTTACTGATAATACAGAGACTGTGTAGAGAGACTCAGCTCTTTTCCTCTTTTCTGCTTTTTTTTTCTGAATACAGGATATTTTGATGATGCCTTGGAAGATTTCAAGAAGGTGTTAGACTTAAATCCTGGATTTCACGATGCCACTCTGAGCTTAAAGCAGACTCTCCTAGACAAAGAAGAAAAACAAAGAAGAAATATTGAAAACAATTGCTGAAAATTTAAACTTGATAAAAATATTAACCCGTGATCCTTATTCCTACATCTACGTGTCTCCAATTTAGATACTGACACATTGTGATTTATGTTGACATTTAAGAGATTCATGCATTGTCACTGAAAGATAAATAATGTATTTATAGTTGTTAATTTCATGTTGAAAAAACTGGTGAATATGTATCCTCTTTATAAAGTATAAATAAGTAATATCAATATTATACGTGTATTTTATTACAATAAATATTTAAGGAAATGTGTGGGTTTTCTTCAGTAAAGTATTTTAATTCCCAACTTTTATTTCAAAATTTTATACCTATAGAAAAGTAGAATGTGTAATACGTTTCACCAGTAAACTCTCCACTCAGATTCATCAGTTGTTAACTTTATGCCCTATTTGCCTTTCCTCTGTATTTAAATATTTAGCTTTTTGCTGAACCATTTGAAAATAAGATCCAGATATCACAGTGCCTCATCACTAAAGATTTTAGCCCGCAGCTTAAAAGGATAGACATCCTCCTTATAACATTCCATTATAACACCTAATAAAGTGAGTCATTCTGTCATGCCGTCCATGTCGAGCCCACACTCATGGCTTCCCAGTGATTTCCAAAATGTGTAGGTTTGGTTTCCTGATCCAGAGTCAGCCCAGTTTCACTGCACTGCACCGAGGGCTTGTGTCCCTGAGTCCCTTTCATCTCCAGTTGGCCCTGCCTGTTTCTCCCACGTTTCTTTCATGATAAAGTTATTTCACTTAGGCGGCAGAGACAACATCTAGGCTTCAAAACACACATGTGCAGGAGAACAATGAGGAAAAATGCAGCTCACACTTGGTTTCTCTAGAAATCATTGATGAGATAGGTTGAGACTGGAATACTGAACATTGTTTTCTGTTTCTGGAAATGAAAGTAATTGTGGTCATCAACATTCGCTGAGTACTCACCGTAAGCCGCCACTGTTCAAACTCTGTTTATAATAATTTGGGGGAGGGGTGGGAGTGGGTGGAGGTGGGTAACTGATAGAAAGATCGTTCTTAGCACTTGGTAAAGATAAAGCATTAGAAAATTTTACTTTATTTGGATGCTACCAACAGACAGGCTCTGCTAAGGCTGTCAACAACTGGGGGGAACTGGACAGGAAGCACGCCAAAGCCAGCCGAGCCCATCTGCAGTGTTTTAACTGGTGCGGTCTGCACAGACCCTGCACCTGGCCACCCTCGTGGACGAGCTGTCCCGGGGTGAGAAGGAGGAACGGAGGGTATGTCTGGCCGGTGTCAGCGGGAAAGCACCGAGCAGCTTCTGTGTCCTCAGACACAGTCCCCCTCGCCAGCCCTGCATGAGCCTGAGAAGTCCGAGTGGTGCCTGGTGTGTAGTTCAGAGGTACACCCGCCAAGCACGGGGGCCCTGGGCTGCAGGTAAATGCACATTAAGAGGAAATTAAATTTGATGGCCTAGAATGAAAACTCTGTTTCTGGGATTAGTCACATCTTCCAATATGATTTATCTTTTCAGTTATTGAAAATGCCCCACAAGGAATTTATAAAATTGCATGAAAATGTAGAAGAATCTCTTTTAACAAAACTTTTTTTTAATGTAGAAAAATCTATTTTAAGAAATATTTTTTTTTAAAGTGAGGTCCCAAAGTCTTGGGAGAGCTCAAGGGCATTCATTCTAGAGAATTCAATACTTATCTTCTTTTTTCTTGACTCAATATTCTGAGTCCTTTCTCTTTTTTTTTATTTTTTTTGACAGGCAGAGTGGACAGTGAGAGAGAGAGAGAGAGACAGAGAGAAAGGTCTTCCTTTTTCTGTTGGTTCACCCTCCAATGGCCGCTGTGGCCGGCGCACTGCGCTGATCCGAAGGCAGGAGCCAGGTGCTTCTCCTGGTCTCCCATGCGGGTGCAGGGCCCAAGCACTTGGGCCATCCTCCACTGCCTTCCCGGGCCACAGCAGAGAGCTAGACTGGAAGAGGAGCAACCGGGACAGAATCCGGCGCCCTGACCGGGACTAGAACCCGGTGTGCCGGCGCCGCAGGCAGAGGATTAGCTTAGTGAGCCGCGGCGCTGGCCTCCTTTACTCTTGACAGGGATCAGGTGTAATATGAAAAAGAAAACTTGTGTGACAATCCCGTTGGGTTTCAATGTTTCTTCATCCTTCTCAGAAGAATAGAAGTGAGGGCTGTTCAGAGTCAGGACTTGCACACTCTTCTCTTAAGTTCCTGGTAATGACTGAAGAGTAGCACACGTACCCTGTTTATCTTCAAGGCTTAGGCACTTAGACGCTAGGTTTCTGACTGACCTGCACCTTTGCTATCCACCTTAAAGACCCTGGTGTGCCTGTTTCAGTCCATGTTTCCTGTATTTCAGTGTGTGTTGTTTTTCTTTTCCTTCTCTGTAAAACAAAGTAGAAAAGACTTGTGGTTTGTTACAAAGTTCATCTTTCAAAAATCTGAAAGGCAACGCACCATAGAATAAGGGATCAGGATAAAATCTTTTAAAAAAGGGGGGGAATCCAAGCCACTTTTGAGTTTTTGAAGATCACTCTCAACGCCAGTGGCGAGCTCGGAGCTCCCTCTGTTTTCCTGCAACCTGAGACTGAATGAAACCCACGGACTGATTTTACGAGAGCGCCTGCAGGCCAGCTGGTGAGACACACACCGCATTTCCAGTCCGCTTTATCCGTTTCTCTGTGGGTCCTTGTCTGTTCCCTGTTTCCCTGTCTCACCAGCATCTCTGCTGCCCCATTCCTAAGCAGGGCCTCGGCCCCCTGCCTTTTTGCCGCTCTTAAGTCCTTCTCCGTGGACATCATGTACTTCAGCCCTGTCACCCAGGGTAGCTCAGTTTGCATTCACACTGACCCTCGAGTCAATGTCTCTCTGCCCAGCCTGGCTCTCAAAAATTTAACTGAAGCTTCGAATCATGAATACCTCAACGACTTCAGTCGGTCCCTGAAAATGCTTCTGTGAAATGAAAAGCCATTAGATAAAAAAATACTCCTGTTAATTTTAATTAGAAAATGATTATTTTATCCTAAGATACCCACTTTTCACAGATAAAATATGTCAATTGAACAATGAAAACAAGCTTCTGTAATAATTTGAAAGTAAACAGTTTGTACATACACTGTAATATCACAAATGTTTACTTTTTTCTTATTTTTGAGATGTAAAAATCCAAATTTATTTAACTGTGATTCAGGTATCATATAATTCACCCATTTAAAGTGCACAATTCAATGGTTTTAAAATTTTTAAAAGATTCAAACTTTTTTTAAGTTAAAAAAAATAATGGTTTTAAAATATGAAGGGGGGTCTTCAAAATGTTCATGGCAAATGAATATTATGAAAAAACTGCATGGATTTCAAAATATTTTTTGCACCAAAATGAACTTGTCTGAACTTCGTTTCCCATAAACTTGTTAAAGTACCCTCACCTTGCATGTTCAGAATTTCTGCATCTTTTTTTAGTGATTTATTTATTTATTTGGAAAGGCAAAGTTACAGAGAGGCAGAGGCAGAGGCAGAGAGAGAGGTTGTCCATCGCTTGGGTCACTCCCCAGATGGCTGCAACGACCAGAGCTGCACCGATCCGAAGCCAGGAGCCAGGAGCCAGGAGCTTCCTCTGGGTCTCCCACGTGGGTGCAGGGGCCCAAGGACTTGGGCTATCTTCTACTGCTTTCCCAGGCCATAGCAGAGAGCTGGATTGGAAGTAGAGCAGCCAGGACTCGAACCAGTGCCTATGTGGGATGCTGACACTGCAGGCTGCGGTTTTACCCACTATGCCACAGTGTGGCCCCTGCATCATTTTTTTAAACACATTTTTCAAGCTTTTCAGGTCTTACATGAGTTTTCTTGTGTGAACACAGCACTTAAGAATAACTTCATAATAGAGAAAAGCACCTTTAGGCTAATTAAAGACTAAACATAACAGGAAATGCACAAAACAGAGGGTTTCAGTTCAATATGTAGCCGATTCCAGGCTGTTTCATGTGGTACTCTCTGGCCAGGAACTTGTATTTCGGAAATCTAAGGATATGTTTCTGAAAGTATGATATTAAATTTATTTCGGGTGTTTAGGTTAATAGATTGCTATTTATAAAAGCTAATTGTTGACATACGTGTGATAAAATGTTTCAAGAGCTTAACAAAAACACTGAACAGTTGCGATTTGAACTAAGTATGGGATTTTAACAACTTCTATAAAAACTCATTTTGGTGTTTTCTGTGTTTCTTGAAACTGACAATAAATCACAGGAATGGGATTCCAGTTTAAAATGGCATTTGTTCACAAAGGAGAGATTTGTTAGACCTCAGGCCTAATGTCAGGAACTTCTATAGGCTCTGTGCACACTTTAGGAAAAGGAAAGATGGTGATCAAAGCAATTTGTGTTCATTGAAGAAACAAAGCTACGGTTAAGATACAAAACGGTTGGGGCCAGTGCCGTGGCTCACCTGGTTAATCCTCCGCCTGCAGCGCCAGCATCCCATATGGGTGCAGGGTTCTCGTCTCGGTTGCTCCTCTTCCAGTCCAGCTCTCTGCTGTGGCCCGGAAAGGCAGTGGAGGATGGCCCCTGCACCTGCGTGGGAGACCAGGAGGAGGCACCTGGCTCCTGGCTTTGGATTGGCCGTAGCTCCAGCCATGGCGGCCATTTGGGGGTTGAACCAATGGAAGGAAGACCTTTCTCTGTCTCTCTCTCACTGTCTATCAAAAAAATAAAAAAGATACAAAACAGTTTATGATTCTGAAAATCATAACAGGATAAAAAATGCATCTGTGTGTGTAGCAAAAAGATGAATGAAAAAAAAAAAAAACCCAGAAAACTCTAAGTCCAAAAACATTGAAATTATGGCCTGTGAATATGTAAAGAAAAACAGTAACATAAGAGAATACCAGTGTAGGTGTGTATGCATCCACACACAACCATGCCTTCCACTGTGCACGGAAGAAGGTCTTATTTTTCCCACAGAAGGAAACTGAGGCTCAGAAATGCAGAATCTTGTTCAAAGTTAGGTTCAAAACCTATCTAAACATTTGAAACTGCAATTAGTATCAATTGATTTTTTATTGCTGGTGTAAACCCAAAGTAGATACGGGGAGTTTTTTTTTTTTTTGTCCTGATAAAAAAATTTAAATTGCTCATAAATTGCTCATAAAATGTTTTAGTGCCCATCAAGGTGAGTATCAAAACAATGTTAAAATATATTTAGTTTTTATAATGGAACATTACTGCAATGCTAGAACTGCTTGTAGGTCATTTTCCTCC